CACTGAGAAAGTAAGCATGTCATTGAAGCCCAGCTTCTTCATTTGCATCGAGTCCTAGCCTCTTACTGTTCATCAATATGTCATTGTAATTGTGACTGTCTTTATTCCAGAATTTCAGGTTGCTTTTCCTTGCTAAGAATTAGGAAGCCAAACAGGAGCTGGGGTGCTCTGTGCTTCCACATCTCCAGAAGTCATCTGCCTGTCAAGCCAGTGCCGAGTTTGGCTGTCACTTGATGAGAGTCCCAGGATGGACAGCTGTGGTCATGCCCTCCAGTCCCTCCTGGACACTGCCTCTTCTCTCTCACAGTGTAGTTATTACCTCTCAGTTTTCACATTCTGAGTGCAACACACTCCCTGATAATGTTCTCAATGATTATAGACAGAGGTACTCCTAGCATCTTCCCAGAAGAAATGATTGTGGATTTCTAGGCCACTGTTTCTCTCGATACGGACATCATCAATGTAGACTGTCCTTCCAAGCTTGATTAGCTATGCACTATTGCTCGTGTCCCTTGAAAGCCTGTGCATTGAAGGCATGGAGCTGTTGTGTGGTGGTGGAGCCATGAGAAGAAGGGTCTAGTGAGGTCAATGACGGTATGACCTCAAAAGGAACCCAGATCCCCTCTTCTATTTTTTTTCCACTTTTAAGACACAAGTGGCTCTACTGGCTTCATACCCCCTCTATCACAGGCCTAAAAGCAAAAAGCCAACTGATTGTAGACTTGGACCTCTGAAATCAGGTGCATACACAAGCCTTTTCTCTCTACAAGCTGATTCACTTAGACGTTTGCTATAATGAGAGAAGACTGACGAATGCACCTCAGATTAAAGGCGTTTTTTTTTTTTTTCAGAAGGACAAAATCTGACCCAGAACATGAGTTGATTTTATAGATGAAGGAACAGAAGATGAGGCTGTTTGCTTGCTGTTCCCTAGATTTTTAAGCAAAGGAGTCAAAGGCACAGCCTTTGGAAGCCTTCCCTAGTGCTGCGTCATCAAGTCTCTACACTCTTTGAATTCTATTCTGAACACCATTCAGAGCCTCATTGGTAACGTGTGCTCAATTACTGCACATTAACAGAAAGTGGCCAACATTGGAAAACTGGGTAATTTTGGAATTATTTTAAATCAGAACTTAAACATCTCTGCAGGAAAGTGAGAGGAGCAGACACACAATAAGGACAAATCCCAGTTTTCACTTCTCTTTTGTCTGATACTGGTGTGGATAATTAACAGGGAAATGGCCACAAAGTGGCCAAAGGGATTGCAGCAGTGGAGAATAATTCAACCATGAGTTTATTGTACTATAAATAATAGCAAGCTGATTGCAGAGAAGCTATTTCTTAGTGATCTAAAGGCACATGTCTTCACTTCCTTATATCACTTTTAAATCAATTATCCTGTAAAACAACAATGGGCTACTGTGAATAGAATTCCCTTTAGCACAGATCTCCTCTGCTTGCCCCGTGTCTCTTACGTTTCCACATAGTGAATAGCCTCATATTGACAATGAGCTTTCTTCTTGAAAATCAAAATGTGGTCTCCATGCTACCATTTAATAAGTGCTCAGAACATTCCTCTATGAAGTGGGTGTATGATGGGAAGGGGGGTTGTTCTTTGCCATGATGACCCAGAGGAAGCAGGTTCAAAGGGGAGGTCATGTCTGTCTATGGTGAGTCTTGATGCCACTCAGGTCAGTTCAGTATTGCTGACTGTTGTCCTTCCAGTCTGAGCCAGAGGTTCACAGTGCTCACGGTCTCACCCCATCATTGGGGTCATAAGTAACTACAGTTCTACTCTCTGTCAGACACACCCTCCATGTCTGATGATGGAGCAGGGGACAGAAGAGGAAATGTCCGAACCATCATTGAAATTTTCTAGAAGGAGAAAGACAAGTGTAATCTATAAACAAGCTGCAGTCACACTACAAGGAACAGATACTGAATTAGTATAAGAAAGTAAAGAGAGTACAGATAGGTTGGGTTATTTTATATAAGATTAACATAACAGTCCTCATTGAGAAGGTATCCTTTGAGATAAGAACGGAAGAACAAAACCAACATCTGAGGGCAGACCATTCTGGATGGGAGCAACAGCCTGTGCAAATGCCCTGAGCCACCGGATACTTAACAATGCATAAAGGATCAAGGGGACCCTGGGGCTGGAGCACGGTAGCCAAGTGTGCTGGCTTGTCTCTGTCAACTGACACAAACTAGATTCAGCTCAATTGAGGAATTGCCTAGGTCAGTTTGGCCTGTGGCCATGTCTGTGGGGCATTTTTGTAGGAAGGACTAGCTCACTATGGGGGATGACATCCCAAGAATGGTGGTCCTGGGCTGTCTAAGCGATGCAGCTGAGCAAATCTGCAGAAGCAAGCCATTAAGCTGAGTTCCTCCATATTCTCTGCTTCAGTTCTTACCTCCAGGTTCCTGCCTTGAGTTTCTGCCTTGACTTCCCATGAAGATGAACTGTAACCTGTAAGCCAAATATTCTTTTTCCTTCCCCAAATTGGTTTTGATCACCATTTTATCACAGCAATGAAAACCAAACTAGGGCACCAGGTTAGCACACCAAGTTGCAATGTGGCAACAACAAATTCACACAATCCTACTTATTGTAATTGTCTTAAGGACATCTTTCATTTTGAGTGGCTTAGAGTCCTTTGGGAGATGTTAGGTTCAGAAATCACATAGCATTTACACTTGAAATGATCCCTTTGAATGCTCTCCATGGATTGGATGCAAGGCATAAAATAAAGGGGGGCATTCTTGCCCAAACTTGACTGGAGACTCCTTGAGGAAAGGATACCTACTGTGCTTGTTCAAATTCTTTGTAGAAGAAAAATAATAAACTTTCATTCCCAGTAAATAAATAAGTACTTTTGGGATGAAAATTCATGACTACACTAGTAGGCAATAACAGGAAGCCTAAGCTCCCAATTATTTATAAAAATAGACACTAGTTCCGGTATTTCAAAAGTATTAACATAATTAGATTTCTTTCCCAAGGTAAAGTTAGATCCCCAATATTGAAGTTAGATATGAAGTCAAAAGCTTTAAAATGTCTTCTTTTGGTGGTGATACTACTACTAGTAGGTTTTTTGCTTGCTGGCCAGAAGTCCTGTCTGGCATATAAAATGGGTATGCAACCACATTCAAGAATTTTATTTTCAAACAAAAATATTATAACATATATGGTTCATAGAGAATATAGTAAAATGAATTTGAATGACAGTTGAGAATTATGTCATATATATGGTTTTGAAACAGAAAAAAGGCCCAGTAATACCCATGCTTGTTTTTCTTATTTACACCATACAGGTCTCCATTACATGAGAAAATTAAGAAAGAGAATATTAAAATCTAGGATACATACAGATTTGGGGAGATCTAGGGTGTTTCCCAGAGTCTCAATCTGAAAAATGGGAAATCCAGAAAATTTTAAGGTGATAAATGTAATATTTTCTCCCTTACATAGTGACACGTGTTCTGAGTTGTTGAGTTGTTTGTCCTTAGTTGTTTCCTGGCAACTGTAACTAGCCTTACAGACTCCTTCAGGCCATTTCATGTAGGACAAACTGATGAGCACACCCAGTCCCTCTAAACCACAGTAGATAGGGCAAAGGGGAGAAGCTGATGAGGGGGTGGAGAGAGACAGAGAGAGAGAGAGAGAGAGAGAGAGAGAGAGAGAGAGAGAGAGAGAGAGGGGAGAGAAGCAGCTTTCAGCTAGTGTAAGAATACCAAGGAAATATTCGAAAAGGTTGGAAACAAAGAGCATTTTGCTGAACAATGGAAAGATTTAGGGAACCGGTAAAGATACTCTCAGGTTCCTACAACTTCCTAATGTCCCAGAAAGCTGACAAATACTCTTCTCTTTCATGTCATTCTAACCTTTGAGGAATTAATGGCAGGGACCTGAAGAGTAGTAATTCAGGGGTATCAGCAAACCCAGACCCTTTGTGATTCTGTGAACCCCCATAGAGGATAAGGACCAACTGAAGCCAAGTTCCTCTGAGCCCAGCCAGACATCAGTCATGGTCTTTCAATGTCACAGGTGACCAGATTGTTTCCCTTAGGTCCAAGCCTCCAAATTCCTGCTTCTCCAACTTAGGGGAGTGCAGTGAGAGCCACAGGCAACAGAAGAGGCGCTGCTGAATTTTGGTCCTGGCTATTGCCTTCAGTTCTGGGATATTCCAGCATCCCTCTGTGCTGCTACTTAAGCATAAAGATTATCAATCATTTGCTTCCCTAGTTCTGCCAGAAGGGTCGCCAGGTGCACGACGCAGACC